GTGGATGTTGTGTGGTTAACATATTACTATTAGATGTTGTGGATGCTGTGTGGTTAACACATTACTATTAGATGTAGTGGATGTTGTGTGGTTAACATATTACTATTAGATGTAGTGGATGTTGTGTGGTTAACACATAACTATTAGATGTAGTGGATGTTGTGTGGTTAACACATTACTATTAGATGTAGTGGATGCTGTGTGGTTAACACATTACTATTAGATGTAGTGGACGTTGTGTGGTTAACGTATTACTATTAGATGTAGTGGATGTTGTGTGGTTAACATATTACTATTAAATGTAGTGGATGTTGTGTGGTTAACATATTACTATTGAATGTAATGGATGTTGTGTGGTTAACATATTACTATTAGATGTAGTGGATGTTGTGTGATTAACATATTACTATTAGATGTAGTGGATGCTGTGTGGTTAACGTATTACTATTAGATGTAGTGGATGTTGTGTGGTTAACGTATTACTATTAGATGTAGTGGATGTTGTGTGGTTAACACATTATTATACACTTTTTTACTTTCGCAGAAATGATTTTAATAATAATTTCTCTTTTGTGATGGTCTTTTAAGGATGAAGCTGTGGGTTAAAAATAAATATATAGTTGGCTTTTAGAAAAGCCCCCATGGGCTCGCCTGTAAGTCTGGAGGCTCATAACGCCAAAAACTGGGTTTCGATACTCGTGGTGGGTACAGTACAGATATAACATTGTGTAGCTTTGCGCTTAATAACAAACAAACAACTTTAATAAATATCATAAACCAAATTTTGATGTGTTATGGCTTAAATATATTGTTAAAAATTACAGTTCACTAACTTAATGTACACACACCGAAACAATTATTGTTCAAGCAGTTGATGATATAAATAGAATCTCGATCGCTTCCATGTCTGTTGCATCCCAGCAAGTCTGATGAACTCTGGTATTGGGCGAAAAGCTTCGCTAGCACTGAATATATAAGATATAGACATATCATCATATTCTTTACTTTCACTCTGAAGTTCTTATAATAACAACGACGTGAAGACAGGATTTGTGTGTGGTGGATGTATTTGCAAGTACAATTAATAGATAGACTTCCGAATGTAACGTAACACTTCATTATCAAGTAGGAATCAGGTTTTTCCTGATGCGAAATTACGTTCCTTTTTTTTTTTAATTTTAAAACTTGTTAGCTTCACTAAAAGGCCAGCCTCTCACGGTGTCTGCTAATGACTTAGATATCATAACGGTTCCCTACATAGTTCCTCAACAATTAGATTGAGGATGCTTGGCTCGATTGAGGAAAGGAA